AAACTGTGCTGGCTGCTAGGGTGTTTTGGTATTTTTAGAGATGAGAGATGAATCACAATTGATTTTTTTCCAACTCATCCTCTCTGCCTTTTCCTGTTAATCGCCTATCACGAAACTTGAAGCTCTTGGCATATAAGCAATTTAGTAAACCAAGACAGGTGGAGGGAGGGTCCTGTTTGTTAAGATATCACTCAAGTGTCATGGCCAAGGCCAACATCTGGGCTGGGGGGATTTGAAACTGCCGGCCAGGAGAACCAGCTTGAGTATCATTATGAGAAGGTAAGGACGGGAGGTTTCAGTGACGTCCTAGGACTCTCTGTAAATTGTGTGTTGCAAACAGAATCTTGGAATGTTCTGTCCTGGGTATGGATGACACTCGTCCAGATGTGTAGGCCTCTCGGCAAAGAACAGCAGCAGCTGTACCAATGTGGGTGGACTTCCAAAGGCCACACGACATGTCTGATAGGACAGCATCTCTTGTTCAGTGGCTTGAAAAGTTCTTTAAAGCCTACAGTTCCTCCTAAGTCCTGGAAATTCTTAAGAGCTGTAGGTGAACATTGAAGCTCTTGAATGTGTTTCCTCCAACTTCCTTCTCTAGTTTGTTATTTTGAGGAGGACTGATCCCTGTGTGGCATCCTGGAGGAGCTGTCATGCTCTTTTCAAAAGCTTCTGTTACATAACTTGTATTCTGTGGCCCTTTTCGAGATGTGCAGGTTAGCAAGGCCTTCTAGAACGTTCCACATGTCAGCTTGTGATCACCTCCCAAGAGACACAGGACCTAAAGGAGTTATTTTAGCTTCCCCAAAGCACTACCAACACTCACCCTTTTTGGGTAACAGTTGACTTACTTCTGAATATTTTTATAATCTAATACATTTGACATAGAGGGAAAAGAAATCCCAGAGGATTCAAAAGTCTGTTGATAGCCAGATCTGTACGTTACCCACGTCAAACCCTCTGTATGCTTTCTCGGTGCCATGGTGTTACTTAGAAATGTGGGATGAAGGACACACTACAGCAGCAGTAGAAACAAGGTGTGCGTGGAGTGATTAAAACCCTAGGAGAGTGCATTTGAAAGCATGCTTGGTTCTCCCATTCAGTAACTGTGGGAGTTTGAGCAACACACTTCTGTTCTCGGAGCCCAGGTTCTCCATCTAGAACACGGGGTTAATAGTCTCTACTTGGCCGTCACAAGGACAAAATGTTTAAGGAGTAGAGGCTCCTTTCTCCCACCATTTCCTCTCTGCCTTCCTTATCTGACAATGACTGCAGCTTCGCTAGGACACCTCACCCCAGACAACAGAATACTTAAGTGTTACAAGGAAGAAGCCTGCACAGAGAGCCCAGCAAAAATGCCACTGCCAAATCTACGAACTTCTCACTGTTTCTCAGCTTCAGCTGAGTTCATGTCTCTAATTAAAGTACTTTCCGTTTTCAAAACAACTGCAAACAGTAATTACATACTTCCCCTCTTTACCTTCCAGGAACAGCCTGAGACGGAGGCAAAACCCACCAAGTCCCCAGACCTGGAGCTCTACAGCTAGAATGTCAAGTTCCTTCTACCCCATTGACCCACATTACATAATGGCTCCTGCGGCTTCTGCCACACAAACCCTAGAGGGTCACAGCTCATCCTAGCCCTCTCAGACGTGTGCTGAGCCTCCACGGTGCAAGGCACTTCCCCTGATGAGGAAGCTGGCATAATCACCTTTAAGATGGAAGCTCTTAAAGATGGAAGCTCTCATCACGCACTCAGAGTCCCCACATAGGGTCATAAGTAGCATCTTTTATAATGACCTGTTCCTTACTGTTTATATAGCTGTCTAATTGGAAATGTTATGTAACCTTAGAGTACGGAGCATTCTGGATCTATTAATAACCAGCTGCATCCAAAGTCTGAGGACTCTTCGAGCTCAGAGTGAAACAGGATCGCCTGGTACTAATTTACACATGTGCACGTAGACACAGACACCCGTGCAAACATACACACTCGTTGCATATATGTAATTGAGACCTAGAGAATGGGAATAACCTGTCCTAGGTCACAAAGCCAATTAACAACAGAGTCAGGAATAACTCCCAGGTTTCCTGGCCTCTGGCAGATGTCATCTTCTTCTACATCCTCCATAGGTGCCTGCGTACACCCTTAACATTGCATAAATGCCACAGCACTAAATCTGGGTTCTCACAGTGCTGGGCACGTAAGTTCCCATCAAAAGGGTTTATTAGACTTCCGAATTAGAAATGGGATGCCAACAAGGGCTCTGTCTTGCTGTTGCTACTCATTTGGCATACCCCTCTTGTTCTCCCAAAAGAAATCTAAGGTGCCCAAAACATATTTTAACATGAGGCCATTATATGTATGGTATGGAAGAGCTTCGCTTTTGAGATCTTCCAGAAAAGAAGTGAGTTTAAGACAAAGCAATCTTGAAAAGGGAGAATTCATTCTTGATTGCACATTTTCATGCTGGGGCAGGGGGTAGAATAAATGGGAGAGAACTGATGAATTCCAAACTAGCTATCAGGAGTGGGAGTAATATTTTACTGTGCAATCCGGCTTTGGGCATCAGTAGTATGATACTACTATACTACATACCACATAATACATACTACAGTAGTATGGCCTCAAAACCGTCCTTTTGTAATAGCATTATCATTTTCAAAAGTAACTTAATGAAGATTGTTTCTCTGCACTCATTTTTATTCAAAGCCTCACCAGTTCGTCATGAGCAGTTGAAACACACAAGGAGAGTAATGCGCCCACACAAGATGCATTCCTTGCCATTCGCAGACCCTATGAGCTTGTCAAAAATGAAAGCTTTGCTCTGGTTTTGTGAATTTCAAACAGTCACCAAACCAGGGAGCTTAGTTTCTGGGGAAAAAAACGAGGCATGCCCATTTCCTTTGGGATTCAATAACACTTTAAAAGGCTCATTAATCCACATCTTTAAAAGACCTATGACAACCCCATTAAGGACCCATACATAGGTCAAGTTGATGAATTTAGCTGAAATCAACAGGCAAAGACTAAGACAGGGTCTAAACATCCTCGTGGCCCACCTTTCTTGTCACAGTCCCTCTGTCTGTGCTTAGCCAGGTGTCACCTATCACTAATATAACCAGCAAACAACAGAGTGCGGAAAGTCTAAAAATCACTTTATTTACATGCCCTAATTGTTCAAGATGAGAGGGTTTTACCTATCCAACGATGATGGGTTCTTTCTGTAAGAGACAGGCAGGCTCTGCAGCTTGTGGCTTTGTAGCCAGCTGGACATCTGGCTGATGTGTTGAATTTCATCAGTTCTTAGGGGCAGTGTCATCTCTCCAAATGAAATGCCTCACCTATCCCATAACCCCAATCTGGCACTATGGGGCGTTTTATAGCCACAATAATTTCATAGATAATCCACCAAAGCACTGCTTAGACTGTACCTCCTTTGGGTGGAACCTGAGTCTCGCACCTCCTTCCCCATCACATCCTCTTCTTGGAAATCAACAACCTATTCAGTGCAGAGCTCTTAGTGCAAATGTATGTGTCTGATCAGCTCGCACACCCCAGGCCTATAACCCACGCTTCTCCGACTCGTAGAATTGTTTACTTGGAAGGGATCTGAGAGCACATGCAGGCTGACCACTCCTTTTACGAACAGGGAAACTGAGGTCTCTTCTTGCTAAGGGGCTTTCCCTGCTCTGACACCAACACTGTACAAGTTATGCAGACAACCAAGCCCAACGCTTGGTGACTCAACCGATTAGACACGCCGCTCAGACCAGGACCAAATGACTCCGTGTGGCTTCCCCCTTCAGGACCGACCTAAATCCACTTAGCAAACAGTTAAAAGCCACAAACCAGAGAGCTGGAGGGCAAACAGAAGGACTCATGTCTACACTGACATACCTTCTCCTTTGCTTCTGGGCTGTGTGAGGAACTGCTGACATGGAGGGTTGGCAAATGCGAACCAAGAGAAAATTTCCGACAGGGTCGGCTTCTGCCCAGTGGCCATCAGGGATCAGCCCCTGTGCCTGTTAAGTAACCATCTCCAAGCCTTCCACAACCAGGGGCAGGTAGCCTGGGCACGTCCTCCCCCATAGAGAGGCTGAGGATGTGGTTCTGAGGCTGAGCATGTGCTGGGCACACAGCATGGACGGGGCACACGGGAGGACCTAATCGCCACCCTTCCCTTCCCTTCCCTTCCCTTCCCTTCCGAGGCCTGGGAGAAACAGGATCCCAGAAGAGACAGCACCCAGAGGAACATATTATCCTTCCACACGAACAGAAGTAGCTTCACACTCACAGTCCACTTTAGGGGTCAGCAGACGCTCGAGGGAGGGGTGGACAAAACACAGATGCTACCAGCCATTTATTTCATCTCGGCAGATACTCATCACACAAGTATTTTCACACACATGCAATAACTCCTGAAGGAAGCAGAAGAAATGGGACAGGTGTGTGTTACCAAGGAATCAGGTGGGTAAAAAAGTAGAAGGACTACCCTGTGTTCCAATCCTGTTCTCCCACTTCCTGACCTCATGACCTTGATTAAGTCATTAACCAACCTCTCTGGGCCTCAGTTTCCAAATCTGAGCCATGGAAGGAAGGAAACCTACTTCCTCGAGTGGTTTTGAGGCACGCTAGCCAGCACAGCCTGGATCCTCATTACAGGGTTCCTATATATGAGTCGTTCCCACCACCCCAATACACACACGCAAATGAGTCTGGACCCAGGATGCATAGATCCTCATCCAGACCAAACAGGTCTCCTGCCTGCGTGTCAAGCCTGCATCTGCTTCTCCCATGGCGGAGGAAAGCATCGGGTCTAGAAGGTGCCCAAGCAGTTCAGCCTCCCTCTAGGCAGGGTTTGGGGAACAGAGGAATAGAGGGGTTCAGCGCGAAACCCTGAGGCTTCCAGGCTCTGGGTGGGGGCCAGGGAGGGGGCTCGGAGGCAGTCTCCCCGCGCCAGAGAAGGGGCTTTGTTCCCGAGGCAGAGGGCCCGGCTTACCGAGCAGCGCATCCGGAGGCGGGCGGGGGGCGCGCGGGGCACGCAGCAGAGCCACAGCCGGGCCCGGGCCGGGGGCACTGGAGCCGGAGGAAGGCGAGCAGGAGGACGATGAGAGAGAGGAGGCAGCGGCCAGCTCCTGCCTCATTCTCCCAGGCAGCGCCGACCCGCTGGCCACCGCCGGCTGGGGCTGGCCGCGGGGCGCAGGACCCCGTTCGCACTGCTCATGTCCCTGTCAGCGGGCTGCTGGCGAGGTGTGCGCGCAGCCGAGTCGTCTCCGGGCGGCGCCCCGGGGCTCCCCATGCCCCGCGCGGGGGCTCGGCGGGAGGACCTCGGGGAGGCAGCGCCGAGGGAAAGAGAGAAAGAGAGAGAGTGAGAGCACGCAGGGCTGCGCCCCGTGGGGGCCGGGGGCGCCCGGCGACCAGCAGGACCCCACCCACCGTGCCGCTGCGCCCTGCGCTGCGCGCCCAGCGGGGCGCCGAGCCCCAGAAACTTTAGCACATGTCCTGTCCGGCGACCGTGGTGGCAGGAGCTGCCCCACTCGTGGCGCGCCCCCTGTTCCCGCCCCGCCCCGGACCTGGCCACAGAGCGCAGCTTACCAGCCACCACCGAGACTGAGGCGGTGGGGTGCTCGCCCGGCCTCTCGCAGAGCAGAGCGCACCAGCAGGGAAGGAGGAAGGGGCTGGCTGCGTCTGGGTCCCTGCAAGGGAGGGGCACCCCAGCGGCGGCGAACGGCGAGGGCGAAGGTTAAGGCATCCTGGGAGGGGGCTGCATGCCCGCCGGGGGCTGCAGGCCCGGAGGGAGGAGGATCCCTGCGTCCCACAGCGCCGCTGCTGACGCCCCGCGCGCGGGCTTCCCCGGCCCGGGTCTGCGGAGCCAGCCCCGTTACCTAGCGACTCGCTCCGGGGAGCCCACGCTGACGCGCGCGACGAGCGGGGCTGCGGCAGCCGAGGGGAGGGGAGGGGAGGGGGAGCCTCTGAGTGGGGAGGGCAGGCGGCTGCGCCCGGAGCTCCTCCCTCTACCTCCTTCCCGGCGCTGGGGAGGGGACCCGGGGACGATGTGGCCTCAGCCTGGCCCTGGAGGATGGGGCGTCCTAGCTGGGCGAGGACGGATATGGCGAGGCACGAAGGTGCTTCTTCCCTTCTCCCTGGGATGCAGCAGCAGGTGGTGGCGACGTGGCCCGTGGAGGCCAGGCACCCACAGGCACGGAGATGGGCCCGGCCGGGGCGGGAGTGGGGGGGAGGTGGCTGTGGGCGCGTGGGTGTGTGTGACACGCTCCCACCCACGTGGCACGCATGGGGACCTGAGGACACAGGTGAAGGAGGAGCCGCCTCCTTCCTCTGGTCTCCCTCCCTCCGTCCTGGACATTTTGCTCCTGCGCTGACTGCCTCTGCATCATGGAAGCACAGGTCTCCCAGCTGCCTGCTCTGAGCGCCTCCTGCCTTCCTGAGAACAGCAGGAAGACCTGGGCGTTTGGGGGCAGCTGTGTGGTGACCAAACCAGTCCCCTTGGCGGCGCCTACCCACCTCAGCCCCTGTGTCCAGTTGCCCACCTTGGGGCCAGAGGAGAGCCTTCCTGTGTCTGTATTTGGGCCTCTAAGACTAGAATTGAAATCCGGCCCCTTCCAATTGCCTACAGCACGTGCAGTGTCCCCTAAGTTACTTAACATCTTCAGTAAAGTGGAGTATTTGTCCCCAAAGCTCAAAGCTAAGTACTAGCACGTAACGTGCTCCATGAACATGAACATATATTTGCTGTGCGGCGGGCAGCCTGTCTCCTGATCTTCTGGGACGTCACCAAAACACACCCCAACGCCCAGGATAGTGGGGCAAGGGTCATGAGCCAGGTAGGGACCACTGTTTTCACCTGTGAGTGAAGTAACTTGCCCAAGCACACTGGGTGCCTCAAAGCAGACCTGGGTCCAGCACTAGGCCTCCTGGTTCCCGGGCTCCCACCCCCCACGACTGCCCCCTCTACGACAGCTGAGTTCAAGGGTCACACGTCCCCACTCCTCCCACTCCTGCGACCGCATGGGAACCACCTGCCACCTCGCCCACAGGACCAAGCCCACACCCCTTCCTCACCCTGCCCGTCTCTCCTCCTCTCTGGTATGAATGTGGGGGAGAAAGAGGCAGAAGACAGACCCTGTAGAGAAGGAGAAGGATCATGCCTTCCCTAGAGCACCCCACATTCTTGGTGGGTCTCAGCAGGACAGATCCCGTCCACGAGGGGCTTTGGGAAGTATCAGGGCCCACGTGGGTTTTGTTGGCTGGTGACAGGACAGATTCTCCAATTATTATTAATTTACAATTTTTTCTTTCTGTAATACATCATCTATACATCACATGAAATGGATGTAACTTTGCTAACAGTTGTCACCCCAATAAACTTTCATTTTAAAAACAATGGAAATGAAAAAAAAAAAGAAAGTTAAAAAAAAATTTTTTTTTGAGATACCAGTAACTTCTGCTAAAAAATTCTGCAAACCCATCCAAACAGAAATCTGTGTCTTAAGAAATCGAGGCCCAAAGACAATACTCTTCTGGGAAAAAACACTTTGCATCCCAGCCCATGTACACCAGTTGGGACATTTCCCAGTGAAATTGAGAGCAATACCTGAGTTTCCCAGCCCATTTTTATGGGCACCGGCAGGCAGGCAGCTCGGCCACAAAATCTCCAGAAGGACTGTTTCCTGGTGCTATATTGGCAGCCGGCTCTTTCTGCAGCTCAGACTTCCCAATATCCAGGTGTAACGGAACATTTAATTTGATCCAGGAACCCAGTGCTTATAATAAACACAACCTCAGAGCTCGTATTCCATGTCCAACCAGAATCTGGGCCCCACTATTCCAGGAAACAAAGCAGCCTGTGGGGGAATGTGATTTGATGGCACAAGCTTCTCATTCACGGGTCTCAGAGATTGGAAAAATGTTGGCTTGTGTCATAGCCAAAGCCAGCACGTTCATCTTTTAGCGTGCGTGTATGTGGCGGGGTGAGAAGACAGCAGGTACATTGCATTGTCATCCCTCATACTTTTCTCAGTAGAGGTGGGGTGTGCCCCAGTACATTGGGATCAAGGAAACCCATAAATCAGCAGGGCCACGTCTTTCCAGGGTGTTCATCTGCAGTGCAGTGGAGGAACACCGCCCCCCGCAAATTTGCAAGGAGCATCCACTGTAGTCAGGCACAGCGCTGGGTGCTAGGGATGCAGGGATGAATTAGATAAGCCCTCTGTCCTCTAGGTCCTCCTAGGGGCATTTATGGAAGCTTAATCCATGCCAGGTACTAAGGGTTGTATGCAAGAGCTCATTTTAACCACCCCTCCCCACCCCAAGCTTGTAAGGTAGGGCCATTATCCCTTCTTAGAGGGAAGCTCACAGAGGTATTCCCCAAATTCTCAGAGATAGTAAATGATAGACCCGGTAGTTGCCGCCTGGTCTCCCTGACACCAAAGCCCACATTCTTAACCGTTACTCCATCTGTCTGCCAGGATAAAGGAAAATGGAGGTGATAATAATACAGAAAGCACCTACCTGATGTTTAGGGTTACAAAGGAAACATGTGTAAAATCACCGGGCTAGCTCCTGGAACAGAGTAACCTCTCAATATAAGACAGCTGTTATCATTACCAGACCTTCGATTCAGTTTTGAATTGATAAGCTCTATCTTATAAGGATTACCAAGTACTAGTCTAGGAGGCACAGGTGACAGTGACCACTTCTGTCTGCAGGAGCTGCAGCTGGCTACCTGGAGGAGGCGCCGTTGGAGTTGGTCTCCAGGTATGAGCAGGTGTTGGGTGGGTGGAGGGGGCAGAAGCAGAAACAGGCTCATCAGGAAAACTGTGGCGACAGGCACAGCTCTGAACAGTGGCTCATGTGGGCAGGAGCTAAGAGACAGAAAAGCAAGAGACGGGTGGAACTGGGGGAAGCCACAGCCTCTAGGAGTGCTGGCTGCCCCCCTGAAGGTGCAGGCAAGCCCATCACTGAGCCAGGCCTATGGAGAGGTGAGTGGGGACAGACAGTGGGGCCAGGAGTTGGAGGAGAGGACCCAGCCTCCAGGCAGCCACCTGGGTAAAGATTTGCAGGTTGTGCTTGACTAGGGCCAGTGGAGTCATGATCCCTACCTACATCAGCACTTTGCAAGGCTGCTATGGAGGACGCTGTGTATGGGCGAGGGCTTAGCGACCTGTAATGTGCATTGCTAAGCATGACTAGTTCACCCACCCTCAGGTGGTTGTTTTTTTTTTCACAATTCATTCATTCATTTGTGCATTTATTCATTTATAAATGTTTATTGAGCACTTACTATGTGCCCAGCACCCTGTTGGCTCAATGCATTCAGCAGTGAACATGCCTCCGCCCCGGTTGTCACGTTACTCACAGTCTATAACAGAGAGATACCAGTCAGCAAGACATTGTGACAAGACCCAGGATCAGTGCTGTGATGCCCACAGCCTGCATGGTTTGCACAAAAGAGGGCCCCTTCCCTGGATTTTGGGGGCTGAGGAAGGCTTCCTGATGGAGACATTTTCCAAGATGAGTGGGAGTCAGCCAAGTGGAAGGAAACAGGTTGGGGGAAAGGGGAGAATGTTCCATGTGCAGAGATAGCACTTGCAAAGCCCTGGAGGTGAATTGTGGGGAACTTCAAATACTAAAAACAAATAGCCCATGAGAAAAGTCAAACCTAGTTGTAATTTTTAGAGAACAACTCTGTGTAGTTCAGCCATGTAAGTGTATGATGTGGAGGAGGGCGAAGTGGGGTCCAGGAAGGAGGAAGGAAGGAATTCCCTAGAAATGGTTCACAAAATGTTGGAAGCATACTTCCTTTTTAAAAATCAGCAGCTCTACTTGTTAATGACTTTTCAGTTTTTTACAATGCTTTGCAGTTTTTGAAGGCTTTCACATCCCTTTTTTCACTGGCTTTCTTCACATACGTGGGAGGATGGTGGGGGTGACCCCTTAGCCTCAAAGCTGATCCCTGGTAGACCCCACAACTTGAAACTGGGCCATTGCCCTGCGTGGTCCAGTCCTGATAATTCTTAATAATTTTATTTGGCTCTTTATGGTTCGCCAAGCATGTCCACCTGCCTGAGTCCAGTTCACCTGACTGTGTTGGCATCTCCACCTTCAAAGAGAGAAAACACCAGCCCAAGCAGCGGTGGCATCTGCCTGGCAGAGCCCTCTGGTCAGCAAGGGGCCTGGAGGGGCACTCACTCAGCTCGCCCAGACAGGCTGCTGCCTCTGGAACGGACAGCAGTTTGAACCATTTGCATCGGTGCTAACAGGATGGCCTGGGCCTGTGTGGAGGTAACATACAGGACAAGTAAAATGAAGTCAAGAGGACTCAAACAACTGCTTTGGCATAGGAAAGGCAGTTTTAAGGTCTGAAATCTTCCTCTGCAGCACCCATATTCAAGTGGCCATCAAAATAAAACAGTCTAGCCGCCCACTCTCAGTAGGAGGTGACAGCCTTGGAATCAGGACAACCGAGGACAGACGAGGTAAGTGGACAAAGGAAAATAGATAACTTGGAAAGAGGGTATCATCAACTTCAAATAACCCCCTCAGATTATAGGAGAGCGTTTGATTAGCTCCACGTGTGGCCCCAAAAGGTTGAACTAGGTCACCAGGGAGACAATTGCTGTTTTCAGGACGAGGACAAGTAATAGCAATGATTGACGAACTATAGCTCATGGGCCGAATCAGGCCCACTGACAACTTTTGTAAACAGAGCTTTATAGGAGCACGGCCTGCCCACTCATTTATGCATTGTCTATGATGAGTTCATGCTACAAAAGCAGACTTGAGTATTTACTACAGAGACTGTATGGCCCACTAAACCTAAAGTATTTTGTAGCTGGCCCTTCACAAAACAGTTGGTCAGCCCCTGAATTAGAGCAACTCAAATATCAAACAGGCTGCCTTGTCAGATAGTAGGTTCCCCATCACTTGTGGTATTCAAGCAAAAGCAGT